ATTGGAATTTGTTTTTTTGGTTTTTTTTTGCCTTTTTATGAAGCATATTGACATTGCCCTGTATTATTTAAGAAAGAAGGAATGCTACCACCCTTGCGCCCATCCTTTTCATTGCACAACTATAGATATACTTTTTGATAAACTATATGCTACTTGTGTATACGGATTTCAATGAAGATGCTACAAATGAGTTTTGGTGTGGTGATAATCAATTGGTTCTGACACCATATGTGTGGGGTGACAATCGTGGATGTGGAATTGCTTGGACAGAGGTTGACACAATCTTTTTTCCATGTCAGCTTCCTTCTGAAGATAATGATGCTATGACACATTTTCTTTTGGGGGTATTGGACTTGAATGAGAGAAAGATTGATGTGTACGATTCCATATATAGTGAGCCATATGAGCAAGGAATGAATCACATTGAAATATATGCATGCATGATCCCCCACTTGCTAATGTTCTCACAGTTTGAGAAAAATCACAAGTCATCTGGAAATGCATTCAACAAATTTGATATTCAGTGGCAATGATCACCACACCAAGCTGGATCGTACGTGTTGTCATTTGTTATACAATTTATATGTACTTTAGATTTATTTTACTAAAGATATTGTTTAATTGACTCCATATCTTACATTTTTCTTAGGACTGATTGTGGTGCATTCCTAATCAAGTATGTGGAGTTGTTGATGATGGGAAAGGATGTGAAGAAATTCCAACCTGAAGACATAACAAACTTTAGAAAAGAACTTGCAGCAAATCTTTGGGCACATGGAGAGTGGAAAAGAAATTCCGGTTATGATACACCACCAGAAAATGTCGGCGACGACTATGATAGTGAAAATGAAACTTCCTGTCCAAAGGAGCTGTAGTTTAGTTGTTAAGAAAGTCTGATGTTGTTGAATTTGGTATAAAATTGCTGTAAAGAATCCATATGAATTCTGAAATATCCTGTAAATTTTTCACAAGGCACTTTTATTTGTTTGCATAGCATAATTTTTTGGTCACAACTATGCCAAATGACAGTATCAATATTAATATGAAGGCATCATGTTATTAATTTCTTTCTTTATGTTAACTATTGATTTGTCCATTTGCAATTCCTAAATTAAGTGTATTGAGCTTGTAAGTCTAAGTTCAGGACAGAGTGTCCTTAACTTTTGAACTTGTAACTGTAAGTTAAGGACTACCTGTCCTTAACTTTTGAACTTGGAACTGTAAGTTCAGGACCAAGTGTCCTTAACTTCTGAACTTTTAACTATAAGTTAAGGACTACCTGTCCTTAACTTTTGAACTTGTAACTGTAAGTTTAGGACTAAGTGTCCTGAATTTTTTGGACTTGAACTGTAAGTTCAGGACCAAGTGTCCTTAACTTTTGAACTTGTAACTGTGAGTTAAGGACCACCTGTCCTTAACTTTTGAACTTGTAATGTAAGTTTAGGACCAATTGTCCTTATATTTTGAACTTGTAACTGTAAGTTAAGGACTACATGTCCTTAATTTTTGAATTTGTAACTCTGACTCCTGGACCAACTGTCCTTAATTTTTGAACTTCCACTCTAAGTTCAAGACCAATTTTCCTTAACTTTTTAGCTTGTTAGTCTAAGTTAATGACTAAGTGTCCTTTTGAATTATGAGCTTGTAAGTCTAAGTTCAGGACTAAGTGTCCTTAACTTTTGAACTTGTAACTGTACGTTCAGGACTATTTTTCTGAAATGTCCTGAACTTCTGGAAATCTAGACAATAATCCGAGATTTTCAGAAGTTAAGGACATTTTAGAAATTTATGTTCTTAATATTAGATTCATAATTCAAATTTTCAGGACTTTTAGAAATCTATGTCCTCAAATTTTACTTGTACCAATGTGATTTTAAAAATAAAGATGTATCAAGCTGCAATCGTCAAATTCTATAAAGAAAAGGACTTTCTTGTTTACCTATAGCAAGAAAAATCTCATAAACAATAAATGGTCCGACAAAGGTAAATTGAATGCCCAAAAAAAGAAAAAGAAACAAAGAGCACGTAAGCGCAAAGAAACTTTGAAAATTCAGGACATCTTTTATATAAACATCTGCTCAAATAAAAATAATCTAAATGAATCCAATTTATAGCAAAAATTGAAAAGAATAGACAAACATAAGTGGATATATCTATTATTCTCTATGCTTCCTTGAAAATAGATGGACTGCCGGAGAATATATACAAGATGTTCTATTATGACCAATTCTTCTGCAACGACCACATTTGAATGTTATTTTTGATGACTCGGTAGCTGGAATATGCCTTTTCTTCTGCCTTCTACCTGGCAGCACTTTGAAATCTGGAGGTTTAATAATTTGTGACTTAACACTCTCTGGTACAATCCAAGAATCAGTATGTCCTACAGGATGTATTTGTCTTTCATATGTTTTCAGCCAAGATTTCTTTAAGTACCAGTGCAAGCAGAAATTGGACTTCTTGATGTTTCTCTTCTCGATAGCTGCAATTGCATGTATACATGGTAATTCATCAAATTGAAACTGATAACAATCACATGTTCTTTTGTTTAAGTCCACCAAGAAAGTAATTCCTTCTTCTTCAACTCTAGAATGCCATGAATCAACAGGGAAGACCTTCAATGTTAAAAAATTATAAGTTAGTACATTATGTTAAATTATCATTAAAATAATAAGCTAACCAAAGAATATAATACTTACATTTAAAGTAAACGCTAAATCTATCTTTTTCTTCAATTCCTCTTCTACCCAACAAGAAACGTCATAAAATTTTCCTTCTGCTTCATTTCTTCTTTCATAAAACCAATGTTGTAGCTTCAGTTGGATGAAATCCATCATTCTTAATATAGGCAGCTCCCTTGCTTCTAATAGCACAGAATTCATTGACTCAACAATGTTTGTTGTGAGCATGTCATATCTTCGTCGTGGACTAAAAGAACGTGCCCACCTTTCCGGTGGTTCTTCCATCAAGTAGTCAAAAGTCTTCTTATCAACTTTTGCTATATCTGACATGTATAGATCAAATTCATTGTGCATGTATACTCTTGCGGCACTTTGGAAAAGTTTTATGACCTCACTTTTTACTTTCCTTCGCTTTAGGTTCTGCTTCAAATGATAGATACAAATCCCATGGTGGCTTTCAGGATATACCTTTGCAATGCCATGTGCAATAGATTGATGCCTGTCTGATAAAAAAATTAAATTGTCAGGGCTCCCAATTGCAACATATCCAAGTATCTCCGTATCCGGTCCTCGTTTACTTTAAATGTCCTGTTGACTTAGTTAATGATGAGGAGGGAGTCACACTTGGCTTTGATCACTTCAGTTCCCAGGCTCTTAGCAATTCTAGACCTGCAATCATAGCTTCATATCCGGCTTTGTTGTTAGTCAATTTCACAGTTCTAATAGATTGCCTTATTACGTTACCCGTAGGTGTTTTTAATATGATACCCAACCCGTAGCCTTTCGCATTAGAAGCACCATTCGTGAATATGATCCAAACCCCTAAGATAGTCCCCGAGGCGAGCAGTAATTCTTTCTCGATCTCGGGGATGAAGACCGGCATAAAGTCGCCACGAAGACTGTCAAAATTTGAGATTTTATAACAGTTCATGGTTTATACTCAATATCGTACCTGCTAACCTCTACGACCCATTTGGCCAGTCGACCCGAAAGCTCCGGTTTATGCATAACATTCCTTAGCAGGTACGAGGTCACGACACATATGGGGTAACATTCAAAGTACATTTTTAGTTTCCTGATGCGCTCAGTAGGGTGAGAGCCAATTTCTGTATGTGTGGATACCTTATTTCATTACCGCCTAGGGTTCTACTAACATAATAGATAGGAAACTACATACCTTCTTCATCGGGGACCAGAACACCACTTACCGCTACCTCGAAGACTACCAAGTAGAGGTATAGCTGCTCATTCGCCTTCAGGGTGTGCAGCAAAAAAGAGCTTGATAGGTATCATTTGAGGTCTTCTAAAGCCTGAGGTCTTCTTCTTCTTCTTCTTCTTCTTCTTCTTCTTTTTCTTCTTTTTCTTCAGTAATGAGAAAAATTGGTGGCTTTTGTTAGATGACCTCGAAACAAACTAGGTCAATATCTGTACTGCCTTGACGTTTTCAACTACGGTGATATCTTCTATGGCTTTATCTTGTCTGGGTTGATCTCTATTCCCTAGTTAGATACCATGAAACCAAGGAACTTGCCAAGCCAATTCTTAAGGCACACTTCTCCGGATTCAGCTTTATGTTGTATTTCCTTAGTATGTCGAAGGTTTCCTGTAAATACTTCAAATGGTCCTCTGCTCGCAGGGACATAACTAACATGTCGTCAATATAAACCTCTATTCACTATTTATTCTTCAAAAATCCGGTTAACTAGGCGTTGATACGTGGAACCGGCATTCTTTAATCCTAACGACATTACGTTATAATAATAGGTGCCGAATTTAGTTATAAAATAAGTCTTTTCTTGGTCTCCCCAGTCCATCCATATTTGGTTGTACCCGGAATAGGCATCGAGAAAACTCAGTGTCTCATGCCCGTCCGTTGCGTCGAACATTCGGTCGATGTTAGGCAAAAGAAATGAATTTTTTGGACATGCCTTGTTCAAGTCCTTATAATCTACACACATTCTATGTTTGTTTCCCTTTTTAGGTACGACCACTATGTTAGCTAGCCAATCTGGGTATTTGATTTCCCAAATGGAACCATTTTTTAAGAGTTTAGATACCTCGTCTTTGATGAATGCGTGTTTGATTTTGGACTACGACCTCTTCTTCTATTTGACTGGCTGGAATTTCGGATCCAAGGTTAATTTGTGAGTTGTCATCTCTGGTGGGATTCCTGTCATATCTAAGTGGGACCAGGCAAAACAATCGGCATTAGCTTTATGAAAATCAATAAAAAATTTCCTGAGCTCGGAGGTTAATCTCGTGCCCAAGTATACCTTTCTGTCCGGTAGATACTCGATCAGTATGGCCTGTTCCAATTCCTCGATCGTCGATTTAGAGGCATCGGTATCATCAGGTGCTATGAAGGATCTCGGGGCCTCCGAAATCATCTTCCTCATTAGTTGGACGTTCCTTCTGTATTCCTCGACCCGGTCGGGGTCGCAACCGGAAATTGCTATTTGGTGCCTTTCCTTTCGACTACCCCCTCACCTTTTGATGTCATGATAGCGGGAATCGGGATCACCTCCTCAATGACGAACATCTTCTTTGAAGTCGGCAGTTCCCCATAGACCATTTTGATTCCACTTGGGGTGGTGAACTTCAGTGCCTGATGCAAGGTCGAAGGCACCGCTCTCATGTTGGGGACCCATGACCTCCCGAACAAGGCATTTTATCTCATGTCCCCCTCGATTACATAAAATTTTATTTCTTGGGTGGTCCCAGGAGTGTTTACCGATAGGGTTATTCCTCCCTTTGTTGTCAAGCATACCATGTTGAATGCATTCAATACTCATACTGCTGGTATGATTTGGTCCAATAATCCTAGTTGTTCACACGACTCTCCATCGGATGATGTTGGTCGAGCCACCTGGATCAATTAACACACTCTTAACTCGAGATTTAGTAATAAATACGGATATCTCTAGTGCATCATTGTGAGGTTGAATGATGCCCTTGGCGTCATCGTTGCGGAACGAGATGGACCCTTCCAGGACGTAGTCTCGACTGCCTTTTTCCCTTGTGATAGAAACTTTGGTGCACTTTATCATTGGCCCTCGTGGGACATCTACTCCCCCAGTGATCAGGTTGATCACTTGTTGAGACTCCTTTTGCTCAATTTGTTTCTTGGCATCCCTATTTTGAAATGATTTTTGGCTCGCTCACTTAGGAATTCCTGAAGATGCCCATTGTTGACTAAACGAGCTACTTCTTCCCTTAGTTGTCGACAACCTTCGGTCCTGTGACCGTGAGTACCATGGTATTTACATATCAAACTGTGATCCCTCTATACGGGATCAGACTGAAGTCACCTTGGCCATATGGTTTCCTTGATGCGATCAATGGCCGATACTATACTCGCAGCATCCACGTCGAAGTTATATTCCGATAATCTCAAGGCTCCCCTGCCCCCAAGTGATATATCGAAACTGTTCTTACTCATCAGACCTCGGTTGCTAGGACCTTGGTCGTTTCTCATGTCGTTTCTGGCTCGGTGGCGACTGGTTCTGTTTCCCCTTCTATCTGAGCTGTATAGCTGATACCTATATCAAGTCAGCATTGGCTCGTAGTCCATAATTCCTTTAGACCTTTTGTTCACTCTCTTGGGATAAACAGACCCCGAGGGGGCCCCGAACTGGTCGTCCCCGACCAAGATCTTTGACTGGTACCTATTATGAACATCGGTTCACGTAACCGCTGGGTATACCAAATTTTTCTTCACTTGTTGAGAATTAACGAAACTTCGGGGGTAGATCCCTCGAGTAAACGTCTGAATGGCCTAATCATCTACAACCGGGGGCAGGTCCATCTGTTTGATTTGGAACCTTGTAACGAACTCCCTAAGCATCTCGTTGTCCCATTGCTTGACTTTGAAGATGTCTTCGTCTCGACCTTGATAGCGCCGGCATGGGCATTATCGAAGGAATCTGCAAGCATAGCAAACCAATCAATAGAATTCAGAGGTAAGTTATGGCACCATATCATTGCCTTTTTCGATAAGGTTTTCCAAATTTCTTCAACAATACCGACTCGATCTCGTACTCTAGGTTATTACCTTTTATTGCGCACGTGTAGGAGGTCACATGCTCGTTTGGATCCGTGATCCCATTATATTTAGGAATATCAGGCATTCGGAACCTCTTCAGAATTTGCTTCGGTGCTGCATTCAGGGGAAAAGTTTTCTGAATAAACTTTGTGGAATCCGGTCCTTTCAATATTGGAGGAGCTCCCGGGATCTGATTGACCCTTTAATTATATGTTTCCACCTTTTTATCATTTGCCTCTATCTTCTTTTCGCCAGACTCCACCCGTTTTGTTAGTGCTTAGAGCATTTTTTAATCACCTCGGAAGTTGTTCCGGGTCCGAACTCATCTGGCTCTAGATAATCCGTTCGTCTCTCCGAGCGTCTTCTCTAACCCGCTCGGGTTCGGCCGTGTTTTGTGCAAAATTTTGACTTGTTAGTTGTGCTATTTCCATTTGCTGGCTTGTATCATTTTCAAAAATCAATCTCAATCTAACTCCATCACCTTCCTTTTCGGGCACTTCTCGAGCTGATTGCTGGGGTGCCCCGCAAATGCTATTTTCGAGATCAGTTGATAGATTGATATTTATGGCAACTTGTGAGTTTACGTCGACTGGGTCAGAGATTGGCGCACCTTTAGGATCGATAGGGGGTACATCATTGCTTGGTACAATGTTATTATTTTCACCGTGGTGGCCTGACTCGACATCAACACTCAAATGAGCAGATTGAGTATTTGACATTTTAAATAGACCTGAAATCAATCTTCAAAGAGCAAGTGTAAAATAGGGTTTGTTATGGAGATTCATATTAAATCACCACTATTATCCTTAGCCTCGCGGTCGGCGGGAAACTGTTTACCCTTAAAATGAGTAACAATTAAATTTATTTGCGGTTTAAAGGATATGTCATTTTAATTTAACACGAATGATCTAAGAACATCAAATAATTGAATTGAAGGAAAACAAAAATGATCAAACTAAACACGGTGGGTGATTAGGCCTGGATTTATGGTGAACACCGAAAGTTGGTTCCGATCAAGCCCCCGAATCAGTCCCGGTTGTAATTAAATAAACAAGCAGCTGAAGAACACTTTTAACAGTAATTAGAGAAGAAATTAACTTTATAGCTTTGGTATGCGTGCCAACAATGATCTTCAAAATACAAAGGTTCTCCCCTTTTATATAGTAGGGGAATTTTAACCTTAATACAAGTCTAAAATCGGTAAAAATCTTTTTTTTCCAGTAAACATTGATACGTAGTCGATATCGAGTGAGATTTTGCGCCGTAATATATGGTTAAGGGCGGATATTTCTGCCCATTGTTTTTCCTGTCTAACTGTCTTTCCCTTAGCCTTGGTCCTTTACTTTGCTTGAGCTCAATGCTTAGCCGTGTCCGGTTCTTGACGCAACATTCGTCCTCCCCGGGCTCTGATCTGTGGAAGCCCTCAGCTTTACCCGAGGCCATATCGGTTCACGCTGTCCTCTCGTTTTTCTACCGGAAATTCAGGGATAACTCAATTCTCGATTTTACCCGCACACATTTATTACTAACATATTAAATTACACTAACATATACTTTAGTATATAAAATTCTTAATCCTGTCATTGTATATAAGTTGAATCCCGATTAAAAAAAAAAAGTAATGTTATACACAGCTGTTTTTTCTATTAACGTAATTGATTGGTGTGCCACATGATTGGGTAGCCAAATGTTTTTTTTTATTTTTTTTTATTTTTATTTTTTTATCTTTTTATTTTTTGTGTAATGTAGTTAGCATTGAGGCAAATAGGCAATGCTAAATGAAAATTCGAAGTCTTTGTTTGCTGACTCATTTACACATGAAACCATTGAAGTAATGTTACGTCAGCCAATCTATGAATTATTGTCTACTGTCCAATCTATCCATCATTTCTGAAAGATATATGATGGTTCAGTTATTTAGTAGTACTTGGAGAAAGCCAAATCAAATAAGACCCTTGTTGAAAAGGAGATGAAATTGACTAAAGACCAAAGATGGCACTCAGTAATTTTGTTGATGCAACATAATTTGGAAAATGTATAGAGAGTTTATGATACTTAACTTCTACAAAGACTGATACTCTTAGTTAGAGCCGAAATTAAAATGTTGCTATTTTGGACTCAAAACACATAAATAGGTGTAAAAAAAAAGGTAACAAAAATATATACAGCGCCAGAAATAGTGGCGCTATATATAAACGGTAACAGCACCGTTAATATATAGCGCCACTATTTCTGGCGTTATACACTGTCAGAGTGATATAGCGCCACTATTTCTGGCGTTATACACTGACAGTGATATAGCGCCAGAAATAGTGGCGTTATATCCCTCCCCAAAAACTCTCCATCTTCTTCCCCCGTCTTCTTCCTCCATTATTCTAATCCCCCTCCCTAAAATTGGTCCCCCCCTCTGTCCGCCACTAAAAAAAAAAAAAAAAAAACTTTGGTCCCCGGGCACATAAAACTTGAAGAACGTAGGTCCCACACTCGAGTAGAGCTTCTTGTTATTGTTGATTCACGCTTTCGGAGTCAAATTTTCGATCTATTTGCTTTCCGAAAATTCTAAATCGAGGTATTTCGATTTATTTTAAGTTGAAACTTTTATAATAATGCATATTATTTGATTTGTATGTGTTCTATTTCGGTTGGTGGTTTTATTTTCGAAATTTAGCATCTAAATTTATCCGGATTTAATTTTACTGTTTTATATAAAAATATAAATTTGTCAAATAAATTTGTCTGTTAATATTCTCATTTATATATATGTGCTTTCATGCCGTTTTGTGTTTTATTTGCAATTAAATTTATTTGTTATTTATGTTTAGTTTAGATTATTTTTTAGCGTAGTAAAATCTAGACCTTTTTAGCGTAGTAAAACGTAGACCCTTTTAGCGTAGTAAAATTTAGAGCCTTGTAGCGTAGTAATGTGTAGTATTTTAGCTTAGAATTCCTTTTGTTT